TGGAAGTATAAAACGATTTGTCAAAGGTCATCAGCGGACTTTGTATTGATCAGCGCACCATACAGGTGTGAACCATGGAACCCAACTCTACCTACGTAGCTAAATCCGTGATTTTACTAGCTTGAGACCTACACCTCGTTGATTGAATGGTCATCTTCGTTGGTGGGAAAATGGCCTTGTCGTAGAGCCCTTCAGAATATCTCGTGTCTGTTGTCCAAAGTGATATGGGCAATATGATGACAGATGTCATGTGAAACATTAATGAGAGGCACTAGAAAGACAGCAAATGAATAACACCACTTCAGCCCGACTTCAACACACTTTAGAATTTTGCGTTTCATACAATTTCTATCTGGGCAACAAGTAGTAACAATCACATCATTCTGATAGAAACCTTGATTGTGTGAAACATGGCTAAGGCGAATAAATGTAGTCAATTATAAGTTCTAGTAAGCTAGGTAGGTGCCTTATGATCGAGACTCTCTTACTGATATAAGAACAAATTCCTTTGGCACAATGAGCTGTAAATTCATTGACAGCACTAGCTACGCTATAATTGAGAGTGAATTACCGACTGACCAGAGCCTGGCAACATCATTCAATCCTAATGACTACTGTAGCCCTCAATAATCCAAGTAACTTCTACGAGTTGAAGATTAAAAAAGAGTACACTGGTTCAACATTGCAGAAAAGCCTGGACGTTGACTTAAACTCGACAACGTGGCGTATACGGGCCAAAGTAAAATCGATTTGATCGCTCTATGAGTTGTTCCCATTGAATCTAGATACAAAACCAAAACTTCCCAAATTATTTTATGCAATGGGACCGTAGAAGCTGAACTTGCCGTTCGGGTCGTACTTGGTCTTCAGAGACTTAAGGCGATCCTGCCTCCATTGTTCGCTACCGTACCACTCTTTAGGACCCTCATCACCAAAGGCGTAGTTCAGGTAGACGTGCTGCTCAGTGCGGCCACTTCCTTCATGAATGATGTCGCGGAGCTGGTTACCGAGTGTGACAGCCTTCTGATCAAGCTCAGTGCCGTTGGGGGAGTAGGTGATGAGGGGCGCGAAGAGAAGGTTGTCACTGCGATAGGCGAATGCAGTTGAGTCGCTCGCAATGGCCTTGACACCTTCGTTGGAGTAACCTTCGAACATGAAGAGAGAGTTGTTGAAGGGTGAGTCGCCGCTAATCGAAGAAGCGAAGAGATCGTAAGCCTTGCGTTGCGCCTCAATGTTGTATGACTCGACATAGATGGGGAAGCGAGGGTTGTTCAAGCCAGCCTTCTGGCACGGGATGGAGTCAAGAGCAATGCCGGTCCATGTGGCTAGGTCAAGGTAGGTTCCCGAGTCCGGAGTGGCAGAGATGGGGCCGATGTCCCGGAAAGGCTGAGTGTAGACGGAGTCGACGGTGGTGACGCCCTCCTGGATGACCCAGAAAAGAATGATAGGCTTGGGTGAGATTAGCAGTGCTCATGGATAACAACCAGATAGCCTGAACTCACATTCTCGGGGTCCGCATCAGGGTTTCTGAGCCAGTAGGACCAGTTGATGACTTCAGCGGCCTGGGTTCCATTCTTGAGAAGGTGCTCATTGGCAGCCTGGTAAACTTCCTCAACCTTCTCGCCGCCGAAGATAAAAGTCTCCACCGCCCAGTCGCTGTGTTCGATGTCATAGACCTTGACGTTAAGAGAAGTTACGATACCAAAGTTGTGGCCCGCGCCCTTGACAGCCCACCAGAGGTCCGAGGTCTCATTGATGGTCTGCAAGGTGCCATCGGCCAGCACAATGTTCATGGAAACAAATTGATCTGCGACCAGGCCGTGGTGGCCCTGAAGCCATCCATGGCCTCCTCCAAGAGCAGGTCCGAGCGTACTGACGCACTCGCAAGTTCCCGTAACTGTAGCCCATGGTCAATGATTTACCTTGACAAGGTACAAGTGATGGAGATAAAACTAGAATGGAGCTTACCAGTCTGCTTGCCGGCCTTCCAGAGTGTGTCGGTGACGAGCTTGGACCCGGTACCACCACTGATCTTGGCGGTTTTCCCGTCTGCAGCAACCTCGACACCGCTCAGCTGGGACAGGTAGATTTCGATACCGCTGTCCATCTTGCCCAGAGTGGTGATAGCGCCGTGCACGCCATTGTACGCAAGGAAGGGCATGCTCTTCTCGTTGGCGAATTTGACCTGTATGCAGGTTAGTGGCCACCTGCTTCGCGCCCGAATACACTCGGACGATAGTAGAATTAGTAACTTACAGTCTCTGCAACATCGTTCTCAGTTCCAGGGATCACCACGAGGTTAGGCTTGGGTGCATCAAGGTTCGACCAACGGATAGACGCGTTGGTAAACTCGGCAGAGCCCGGTTGGTAGATCTTTGCAGTAGCTGAGAGCCTATCGCCGAGCTCAGCCGTATCTCTCGCGCAGATGCCTCCGAGCAGTTGACGAGCGACAGGAACGTTCAGGCATGCTGAGGTAATTGCCCATGCAGCAACGGCTGTAAGGACTTCCATCTTGAATCGATGCATCTCGGCAGGGGGAGGGCAGAAGGGGGAGCCGGATTGGCAGTAGATAAACTCTCGATAAACCCAAGGATGCAACTGCTGATACAAAAGCTGGCCCAAGTGTAACCTAGATATCAAGAGAGTTCGAAACGAATGTGGTGGTAGTGAACGGACAGACCCCTCGTGGTTGAGTGCGCCTGGTTCCGAACAGTCAATCCGTCGACAAGCAGCAGCGCTTCGACCATTATTTATCGTACATGGGAGGTGTGATGGCTTCTGTAAGCCAAGTTTACCGGGCGCAACGCTGCTTGCATTCTTAATTTCAAGCCCTTGCTTGGGTGCCCCTGACATGCATGCGTCCCTGCTTTTTCTACAACGGAGCCGACAACCAAGTTGATCAAAAGTGGTGAAAGCTCCTCGCAACCCTCGTCAATATCTGTCGCTTTAGTCCGCGTATCCCGAGGAACACAATGACGAATTGTCTAGACTTATGCGGTCTCTAGATGCTGGAATTAACCGCGTGGACACTCTGGGAGACCTCTTTCTTTCCGCGCAGGTGAATTAGATGCCTCAATATGGCCCCCCATCTCAATCCACGTGTCTTTGCTAGTGTTCATTTGTAAGTGAGTTACATTCATTTACCAAACTCCCAATCAGCATGAATACCGCAGCGGAGCCACATCTTTCAAGGTTACTTCGAGGAGGGAAATCGTCCCATGGAGTCCAAGCGTAGCGAATAGTTCCGACCAGTGTTTGTAAATCCTGCAGCCCGTACCATGGGACACCTGCGTAGCGATGAGTCCAACGGCTGCCAACTTCTTAGTGCCAAGTCAAGTCAAGTCAGAGACAAAACTCCGAATACTACCCACCTGCTGCACCTCTTCGCACTTCGGCGATGAGATATATCTCACTCTCCACAATCCCCCACCATTGCTCTACCTTTAATGCTGCAACGAGACGTTAGAGACTCGGCTGTGCGGCACTTGGGACTGCGCAGCCACAAACTCCCTCGTGCCAGCGATATTTGGGGGGCATCTTCTGTTGTGGAGTACCTGTTCTCAGCGCTGCTCAGGATTTCAGGATGCATTCACACGAGGATCAGGAAGTAAGCCGAGGCAGCTATAGCCCAGGAAGGTTGATTGAACGTTAGGCCGGAGAATCTCCCCGAGTCTGCGCCTCACTGTGCCCCTTGGCTACAGGTAATCTGGAAGGCGTCTGTCTTTCGGGCCGCTTTGACCTGTCAACCATTCCCTCGGACCCATGTGAAGTCTTCCATTTCTTTTTCTTCCTTCTGGACGTGTTCTCGGGCATGACCGTCTGATATGAGACCTCTGATTAAAGCATTCGGCTGCTCGTGTCCGGGGCTGGACCTCTTCAACTGCAGCCCCATTTGCAAATCATGGGCCGTTTAGGTCTGGTGTTCGCAACTCGCCCCCGCCCCTCATCGCATCACCCGAGGTATCCTCATTACCTTATCGTAAAGAAAAGTATTGGCAGTGGGGGCGCTCTACACCGGGGGAAGCACCCGTGTTCCGCTTGGGCCCCCTACAGGGCTCAGGGGAGCTGTCCACTTCCGAGTCAGGGGGCAGCCATGGATTCGATTCCACCATCATGATCTAGGACCTTGACAAGTGGGGGATAGCTCCGTCAACTGAACGCTGAATAGTTCACCAAACAGTAGAGTGGAGGCAACCTCGGCCCAAGACAAGGCTGCGAAGCTGTGTTTGTTTTATCATCTCTAATCTGAGCTGATGTTAGGAGGCCTGCGGATCAAAGTTCGCGGAGGAAGCGGATAAGGCCCCAATTCTTGAAGTAAAGGCATCCTTGACTTTGATCCCACACATCTTTCATCTGGAAACCTTACAAAGAACCAGGACCACGAACACAACTTGTGCTGCCAGGGAAAAACGAAGGAGACAACCGGAAGACGGATGCTGAGCGAGTGTAACATCTTTCTCAGCCATCACCGTCGCGGTAGTATCGTAGTATCGCGTGCTGCTCGCCGGATGGGGGATTTGTCCGACGAACATGTTCACAGATCCTTGAAACCTTAGAAACCGCACTATGGCTTGTATTGGTGTATCCCATACATGAAGTTTGGTTTGCACTGTCACAACTCGGAGATGCAGTTATGCAGCAGGAACAGCTGCATGGGGTCCCTGCAAACTCATCCAAAGTCGCCTTGCGGATAGTAGGGGAAACGTCTCCTCCGCCATGGGTTGCATCAGTTGGGACTCTGCGCTCTAACTTACTGCGTTTAAGCCTGCTGCCATGTTTCCAATGATCGATGTTCCGGTTCTCTTGCACTAGTGATGGATCGTAGACCCTGATCCAAACATCTAGACTTCCTTCTTGATTCAGTTCTGCTCCTCCTGGACTCCCGGGATTTATACTTGTACGAATGGTACTCCGCAATTGATATTTCTCTCTTACTCGGTCGTTTCCGCAGTCATTGGACTTATCCGACCCCGCTCCCTCGACTAAGACAGACTCTGCCAATGTCGACCACCGATCTCACAGAACCAGCTGCGCAGGCTGCCGCTGCAGCTGCCGCCGAGGCAGGTCGACAGTTCACGATCGAGGCGTGGACACTTTATGGCATCGGAGTGATCGTCACGGCCTTGAGGACCTACGCCAGAGCGAAGGCCGTCGGGTTCCGAAATTTTCGGGCTGATGACTACCTAGTGTGGGGAGCAGTTGTATGCATTCTGGATGATGCCAATACGGCATCAAGGAAAGCTTCTTGCTGACATCTTCTCTTGCAGCTTTTCTACACTGTCCAGTCGACCCTAGCCTACTCCGTTGGCAACATAGCTCATGGACTCGCCAATAATGGCATGACGGACGAAGAGCGAGCAGCACTATCTACTAGTGATCCGGAATATCAACTGAGGTAAGTGGGCATTTAATATAATGCCTGATGTCACTAATTGAAACGGTGAATAGAGTCATCGGATCGAAGATTCAGATTGCTGGATGGACCACTTATTCGGCACTTATCTGGCTGCTGAAGCTTGCGATGTTGGTCTTCTACCTTCGACTTACGGTACTGCCCCTCTGCAATCTAATCCCATCATACTCGTCGACTGACACATGCCGTTAGGAAGGTCTAGGTCGTCGATATCGCATGCGCATCTGGATCGGCTTCGGTCTGGTGATCGGGACATTCGTCGCCTCTCTTGGAGCAGTATTCTTGTCGTGCATTCCATTCAGCAAGTATTGGCAAATCAGCCCGGACCCCGGTAGTAAGTTGATGAATCTCAAAGCCAAACGTGTGACGCATCCTCACCATTGCTATTCTAGATTCCTGTCAAGCTGCCGTATCGTTACCAATCATCTGGACCTCTTTCGCTGCGAACGTCTCGACCGATATATATCTTATCCTAATTCCTATCCCTCTGCTGTGGGAGTCAACATTGAGGCTCGTCAAGAAGATTGCATCAACCATTGTGCTTGGTGCAGGCATCTTCGTCCTGGTCTGTGCCACGCTGAAGAGCATATTCGTCCTCGTGGTATGTTTCATCGATCGGGAACACCTCTCATTATAGTCCTTACCTGTTCACTAACTAAAACTGTACTAGGATCCCGTCAACGGTGCCCAACTTGCCGGCACATGGGGTACTCGCGAAACCTTCGTCGCGGTCGTCACCACCAACCTTCCTATGATCTTCCCTCTCATCAGAACATATCTCAAGCCTCTTTGGCCTAATGTCTTACGATCATCCAAAAACACGAAGAAGGCATACAAAACACCGAGCGGTTTCCGAACCATTGGTGGCGGCCATGGGGATTCCTCGCGCCGGACTGGTCCTCCAAGCGCAAACCCCCCTACAACTTCCCTCTCGCCTAATTTTTCTTGGCATCTGCTGTTAGTGAATGAGTGAGCCTACCACCAAATTACTAACAGCCGAAAACTCTTCACCTCCCCTTGCCGGAGCCCGCATCCGCGATGGCCTCACAGCCGCCGTCGGGCACCGGACTGATGTCGGCCGACCAAGCCGACCCCGAACCAGGCTCCGGGACACCTCCGGAGCCGAACCCCACCTCAAGAGCTAAGCGACGCCGCGACGCCGAGGCACAGCCGACCCGGCCCAGCCTAACGGGAAGCCAGCTTGATGCCACCACCGACGCCCCTACCTCGGCCGAGGGGCCCGCAGCCTCTACCGCATCTGCTCCGAGCGGATCTGCCACAGGGTCCGTCTTGACAGCCCTTGCAGAAGAAGCTAGACAGTACGAGGCACGGAAAGACGTCTTTCTGACCATTGCACGGTCCGTCGACAGCGTTGTCGCCAGCTTTGACGGTTCTAGAAAGCAGATCGCGAAAGAAGCCACTGCCTATGTCATTCAAACCCTCAAGAGACTGATCAATCACGAGACAAGCCCAATAGCGGCCCGGAGTTGGGCGGCTGTCGTCGCACCGATGGCGGGCAACACCACTGCGGCGACCCGGAGCGGCCAGAGCTGCCAGAGCTCTGCCCGCCCGAAGGCCACACTCCCCGCCGAGGATCAGCCGCAGGCGCAGCCGAAGGAGGACCTCCGCATCTTTGCCCGCGTCCCGGAAGAAAGCTTAGCGGCCGCTCGGAAGATCGCACCGTTCGCCGTACGACAGATCGTCTGTAAGGCCGTTGGCCTGGGGCTAGCGGACCTTCCCCACGTCTACCATATCAGCACAGGTTACTCTCTGAAGCCGCGAAACAAGCAAATACAGGAAAGACTACTTACAAGTAAGGCAAAGCTGGCGGAATGCCTCGGCGCCCACCAAGTCGAGACGCCTATCAAGTGGCACACATACGTTGTGCCGCGATGCCCAACAAAACTACACAGCATTGGCGGGGACGTCCTGGACCCAGCCACACTCGTTGAAGATGAGGTCTTCGCACAGACAGGACAGAAGCCTGTCCTTGCTCGACCGTCCCGCCTTGGGCCCAACCCAGTCACGAACGAAATATCTTGGCTCATATCATTCACATCAGAGGTCACGCCCTTCAGGCTCTTCAACCAAAGCGGCAGATCTCTGCCCATCAAAAAACGAAGGACGCTCATCCGACATGACCCCGGCTGCCAGGGCTACCACGCCAACCGGTTCTGCGGACGACGACCGACTTGCAGCAACTGCGGAAGACCTTCCGACTCACACGAAACGGGACCTTGCATGGCCAGGCCCCAGTGTCCCAACTGCTGCGGCCCCTTCCAAGCCGGCCACACAGACTGCCCAGCGAGGCCCTCGGTCGTAAACGGCGTCGTCTCCCTTCCCGGTCGAAAGGAGCGGGCTCGGATCCGGAAGGCCGGCCAGAAAGCATCGGACACTCTGTACAAGGCTACTCGATCCGACAGTAGCCAGGAGGCGGCAGGCGTCCCTACCTCCACCAGCCAGAACCAGCAACCCGGCGCCAAGCGCGCGCGCACGAGAACGCCCTCCGCAAGCTCGATCGTTTGCCTCGGTGACGGAAGCACTGACAGCAGCAGCATGGATGAAGACGAGGCGGACGAAGGCGAAGGCGAAGACTCCCCCGACAACACCTCCATCGACCGTCCCGTGCTACCCATGCCAAGCAGGAGCCAACGGGCAGCACAGAAGCCAAACTACAACGTCGCGAATGCCTACACCCACCTCGAACTCGACTCGGAGACGTAAGCCGAGAGCGGCGACCCC